AGAAGGAAGATAAAAGAGATTTGATCTGTGACTACTGTAAGAAGCCTAAACACACAAGAGATACTTGTTGGAAGCTTCACCCACATCTTGTGCCGACTAGATTGAAAAATAAGAAGGGAAATGCACACATGGCAGTTACTGGTGACATTCCGGGCCCTCCTACTACAGCTGCTCTGGAGTCTGTTGCAGCTGCTGCAGTAAGGGCCGAACTTGAGAGGTATGGGCTACTTCTGAACCAGCGGGATACAGCCAGTTCCAGTTCAGCCACAAGCGGACAGCAAGGTACAGGTGGCACTGGTGGAGTCCACTCTACTTCTTTTGCTCACACAGGTAGTTCACACGTCACTGCAAATTATGTTTCTACTGCAGGTAAGGAGGGACCTCCTTGGATTATAGATTTTGGAGCCTCAGAGCACATGACCCAGATCTCTACTATTTTTTCAACTTACCAGCTCTGTTCTGGCAGAGATAGGGTCTCCACAGCTGATGGATCCCATGTTCCTATTGTTGGGAAGGGATCTATCAAGATTAGTGATTCTATTTCTCTACCCTCTGTCCTTCATGTTCCCAGATTGAGCACTAATTTGTTATCTGTTAGTAGTTTGACTAAGAACTTGAACTGCTTAGTAATTTTTTCTCCTGGTCATTGTATTTTGCAGGATCTGGATTCAAAGAGGACGATTGGGAGTGATCGTAAAGTGAATGGAATCTACCTCCCGGATGTACTTCCTCCTCATCAGAGCCATCATGACAGCAGGGATAGTGAGTCAGGGTCTGTGGGTCAAATTATGCTTTGGCATAATCGTTTGGGCCATTTACCTTTTTCTTCTTTGAGTTTTTTGTTTCCAAAACTTTTTGAGTCTGTTAGTTTGTCAAGTCTAGAGTGTGAAGGTTGTTAACTTGGAAAGCATTGTAGACATTCATTTAAACCTAGTAATAAAAGATGTTCTTCTTCTTTTGATGTTATTCATTCGGATGTGTGGGGCCCTTACCATGTTCCTAGTAATAAAAGATGTTTTTCTCTTATTTATGGATGATTTCTCACGATACTCTTGGATTTACCTAATGAGATCCCGTGATGAAGTACCATCCTTGGGGAGGCAATTTCATCAGATGGTACTAACACAGTTTGGAACAAGAATAAAGGTGTCCAGATCAGACTAAAAGAATGGTAGGATCCATCTAATGGACGCCATGAAGGTTGCGGAATGGGTGGGCGAATTTCAAAAATTTTYCTACBTTCTTCCAAYTGKGAATCATATTCCCTAAATTTAGAATACAATATTCAAGGATCCTACTTGAACCATAATCGAACCAGATCTGAACCAAAAGGAAAAGGGAGGAATTATACTTGATCCAGAGAAGCAGTATCTCCCAAAGTTGGTGTTCACGCCCAAAGATGACACCAAGATCCGCTCCTGCTGAAGATGACACAGCTGTATGTGGAACGGAACCAGCAGAGTGTGTCCTACACACTGGATCCTTCGCAAGAATCCTCTGGAAACTCTGAGCACCGAATCTTTTTCAGTCTTTTTTGCAAGACTGATGTCAAGAATTGATTTCTTGATTTCTTTCTACTGCAAAGATCAAATCTTGCCAGAAGGAATGGCGGCGACTGGAGGAGAACTCCTGGGACGAAGATGGCTGAATTGCTTCTTTTCTCTCTGGAGTGTGAATGAGATCTAATCTCAATTCGCGGGATTCTTTCTTGCTTACAACCCTTGGTTCGAAATCTAATCATTTTTCTCTTAGGGTTTCTCCTCCTTTCTTTTTGATTAAGAAACCCCTAATTAGGAGTTATCCCAATCCAAATCAGTATTTGGATAGGGGATGATCTTAATCCTATCTGCAGATTAAGTTAGCTTACTCCTG